CACTGCAATGCAAAAATAATAATAAGACAACTGTAACAAACACAGATAAGAAAAAGTAACACAACAACTGAAGGATTACCTGGTCACAAACTGATCTGGATGTTTATCTGTCAGTGAGGTGGACTGAACACTAAGTGAAGCAGCATCCACAATTTTGAAATTCAGGGGATCGCCACCCTGCAATTTGAAGTATCAAATCATGTCAAAGGCGCACAAGCAAAGAGTATCCAAACATCTAACAAGAATTAAACTGCCTTTCGTACTTCCTCTAGAAATTCTAACTGTCTTTTCCTTTCATGTAGGCCACTGCACTCCTGCCTGTTAACAAGAAGAAATCTCACCATAAGTTAAGATAGAGTACTTTATAATCCCAAAACTTCACCTAGCAGGTTGAAGAAGCAGAGTATGCTAGAATTACCTTAGCTCTGCTCGAACCTTCTCAATTGCTATTGTCTGCGGAGAAGTTATGGTACCAATACCCACTCCGCCTTCAACAAATCCTCCCATGGAATCAATCCCGGCATCGACTATAACATCAGATCCAACACCACATCCATGCATTCCCTCCTCAAAGCTTCAGGGTATTACCCTCCAATAACATAATCCTCAATCAAATGCTACAAGCAAGAGAATAGTTAAGACACCATCAACAACAACAACATACACAGTAACATTCCACAAAGTAGGGTTTGGGGAGGATAGAGTGTACGCAGACCTTACCACTACCTCATGGAGGTAGAGAGGCTGTTTCTGAAACACCGTCGGTTAAGATATCATCCATGAAATAGAATAACACCAATGGAAGAAACACTCATTTCAGTGCATATGACCAAAATTTTAAGCCTTCTTTGGGTATTAAAAGGGAAAAGACTCGAATTAAAAATTGTTTACAGTTAAGAATGTTTATTAGGAAAATACATAAGCATGGCCCAATGCACTTCATGGGACATACAATCACAGTGCTGCTTTTTCCTTCACGTTTCACTTGTTTTACCAACAAGTTTTTAAGCCAATAAGAGAAATTTTCACACTCATGAAATTGACAGACCCTTTGAATGTACCAAGAAAAGCAATAACACCAAGACTACTGATAAATTTGTTAATAGATTTTCTAAACAATTGCTTAAACACTGGGGATCATAGAATTTACTAACTGGTCAAACAATTGCTCTAAGGTGCAGACTGGCATAAGCAATAAATCCCTATATCATACCTAGCGCATTCAGTTTTAAATCGCAAAATAAATGGAAGTGAAGCGGGAAGTGCCTATTTAAGCCTAAAAAAAGATTGTGTTCTTAACTCCGCTATAGATTTGGACAGACAGTTGAATCCTTATGTTTGATCCGAATATTGTTATCATCCCAAAATACCATGTTTTTCAAGGAGGGATAAAAATCTAACAATAAGTTTCAGAAGGAATCACAATTATAGCAGATGTATGACAATATGGCATAAAACTTGGTCGCCAAACAAATAATAACAATATCAACTTCTATGGACTATCTACAGCTAAAATATTTTCTTTTTGGTGGTGTTGGGAGGGGGAAAGCAGCACATGACCACGTGCAAGGAAGAGATAATATTCATGGCAAACAAATCATTGGGGTTAAAACTACACAGATATAGCAGCTTATGCTGGATAACTAGACATGTTGCAGGGGAAGATCAAACAACAGATCACCTAAAACTGAAGGAGAAATAGAATATAAGAAAACATAAAATAAGATTCTAAATGTGCACAATCTCGAACCGTTTTCCTTTTTACACTTCCTATAAACATGACAAAAGAGAGAGCATATGGGTGCACGTGCATTTACATATATTTGATTGGTTATAGTTGCAGTTTATATACATAGATTTGTTAGGTTATGGTTTCAGTTCATAGATATCAGTAACCACTCATTCTACAAAACAATTATATCACAATTTCTCAAGTGCAGCTATAGGAAAAAGCTCATTCGTGCACGATTGGACAGTAAAGCAGCAACTTTAGAATCATAACTTTTTAAGACACGAGAAGGGAGCATCTTTCACGCACTAGTCGCTACTGTTCGTATCTCTCTCATTTTCTTGCAATCACACCCATGTTGTGATCAGCAGCTTCAATATATCGGATAAAGTCCCACGAGAAAGGAAACATCATGGAAAAGTAGGTAGCACTTATCAACATGCACAACAACAATAAATTATCATATTAAATTAAGTTCTGTCTAAGAACCTGTGTATAGAAAGCACTGAACATACAAACTTCCCTAACAATTGAAGCAAAATGCACAAACACAGATGGAAAATTCTGTAAATTTACATTTCCTAGTTAACAAACAAAAGCCCCAAAAGAAAAAACAATTTGTAGCACTTGTATGCAATCTAGGGTTTGCACGAAAATGAACAAAGACCAAATTCTAGGGTTTGTAAGGCTTGTTAGCCGAAATCAATACCTGAATTGCCAATAGTTACACCCGAATTGCAGATGGGGCTGTCAATGAATCGCCCCAATTAGTTTCTTCAATTTCTAGGGTTTTGGTTTGATGCAAGGTACCTCAATTCATAGCGGGACATATTTGCCCTAGAAATTGAGAAGCCATGAAAGAAATTACACTTTTCTACAAGGTCCTTATCCTCTATAAACTCATGAATACATATGTGATCATTGAAAATGCTCCCTCCTGGATCGTCTTCTTCGTTTTTCTTCTTTTCTCTTCTAATCGTCCTCGCAGAGTAGTGGGCTGGGCATGCGATTTCGGGTCAATTTGGGCCCTTTTTTTTTTGCCTCCCTAAATTTATATGAATTCACACACACACACAATGTCCTTTTACACTAACTATTCTCTAACTCCTCTTCTTCCTTACAAATTTTGGGTATAAGCATAACCATTTCACTTATAATATATATAGATGGATGGTTTGATAAATGGTACATTTTTATTTATTATAACGCGTCTATCATTTTATCTGCATTTAATTATTTAGAATATAACGCCTCAAAAGTCTTGTACGTATTTACTTATTCAAAATGTAACGCTCTGATGGTCTTATATGTATCTTGACTATTTAGGATGTAACGCTCTGATGGTCTTATCCACATCTTAAGTATATTATACATTTTGTGTGAAAATGTTTTTCAATTTCTCATTTTGATTAGCTTACATTTTATAAAAACGTCTTTCAAATAGACTTATTTTCCCTTCACCACCCAATTCAACACATGACCCTGACTCAATAACCAACGCTCAACTCCAATTTGAGACCCAACTCTTGGCCCCAACCATGAAATGTTACTTAATTTTGATTTGAGATCTAACTCTAATTTAGACCCCAATTACTCTCGATTCAACAATCGATTCTATATTCAATCCAACTTGAGATACAATTCTAGCTCCTTCTTGGAACCCAACATTTGAATCTCGATCTGGAATTTGTCTCTCAATATCAACTTGGGGACCTAATACTAGAGATCCAACTTTGACTCTAACTGAGGACCCACGTCTCAATCCAAAATCAGATCCTAACCTTAATATGGGACCCTATTTTCGACTCTAATATGAGACCCCAATCTTAACCACAGTCTGAAATTCAAGACCCAACTTTCGACTCAGGATCTAATATTCAATTCTTATCCAGGACCCGATATTCAAATTTGATCTTGTACTCTATCTTGATCTCTATTTAAAATCTAATTCTCTATGTGTAAACTCGATATAAGACTTGACTCTTGACTCCAATTCAAGATCTCAAATTTGACTTCCGTCTTCCAACTTGCCTCAAGACCCTATCCTGACTCGAAATAGACCCAACCCTACTTGAGGTCAAGGTCGAACATTGGCTCATGACCAGGACTCGGATGCTAATGATGTAAAGGTTGGATCGAAAACCAAGTTCTAATTCAATGTCGGGGGTTGGATTATGCTCAAGTCGATATTAGAGCCAGTTTGAGTCTTGAGTCGGGATTACGACATGGATAGGGGTTCGTGCTAAAGGGTGGGGGTCTAAGTTAAGTGTCATATTTACCTAGATTATATTTAAAAGGAAAAATTGTATATAATGGCAAATTAATAATTCAAATTACATGTTACAACTACACTTCGATTTAATTGTGCCTTGTAGCAAACTGTTTGTCAGTCGCCTCTCTCGCTCACCACTCTCTCTCTCTCTCGCTCCCTCTCGCTTTTATACAAACACAAATTTATAAAATGTGTTTGTGTTTGTATAAAGCGAGAGAAAATTATATATATACATATATTTTCGTTCCCCTCTCCCAGCTCTCACTCGCCTCTCACGCTTATACAAACAGAAACAAAATGTATAAATTGCATTTCTGTTTGTATAAAGCGGGAGAAAATTATATATACACATGCAAATGCATATATCATCGTCCTATATATTTATAATTATACAATATATATATTCCCTGCCCAAATTTTTTGTATTTCTCCCTTTCTCATTTTATACATACACAAATTATACAAATGTTCTTTTGTATACAACTGTTTTTTTATCTATATAGAGTAAATTATACTACTGATTTCTTTGTATATATATAGCGAATTATACAATCGTTTTTTTTGGTATATGTATCACGAAATATACATATTTATGTTTGTAATGAAGCACAATTATGCAAAGAATAGCTATATGATACAAAATATAATTTTTATATTTGTTATATGTGTAAGTTACTCTATATAAAAATTCTCCTAAAATAATATTTCATTCTTAGTAACCGAACACCATAAAATAACTGATTTATTTATTTTTATTTTAAAAATATTTTCCTTTCATGTCAAACAATACTCATGTCCTATTCTTCTCCTCCTCTAAAATTTTGAGGGTATCACATAACATAATTTTATATAATCTTTTCATTATGATAAATTTATAATATAGTATAGTGTCGCCTTATCCGCACCTCAAACTATTTACCTTGATAGAAATTATAATCTGGTAGCTATTTTAGTATCTTCACTTGATTCATAGATCATTTAATATAACTATATTAGCACTTAGCCAATTCAAATTTCTTTGATCAATATATATTTCTTTCCAACAATGTGAAGAGTGAGTAAATTTCATTGCAGATGAAGACACAAATCAAAGGTACAAAAGCCAAACAATACATGCCAGAATTACTGAGGATAAAAAGTTCCATGAAACTCGTCATGAATCTATTTCTTCTTGATGTTATGGCTTTCCGATTTGTTGATATTCCATCCATCTTCCGCCTGTGCTGCTTTCTTTTTCGCCTTCTCTTGAAGTGCCTTTGCATCCCTGATGACAATGTGTATGTATGTCAGCAACATGAATTATGCAATTTTGGCATATAACAAGTAAGGTTCAACCTTTCTCTTCGTTGTTCAGGAGTTAATCCATCATTTTTAGGTGTCTTGGACTTGTGATTTCCCCTGGCTTGTGCCCTTTCACGATCTCGATCTCTCTGGTTCCCGCGTTAGCTCAAGTTAAAGGCCAAAAACAGGCAGGGATCAACAACATTTTGGAAACCAAAGCTCAAGGAAGATAAGGACTCAGGCTGAGGCAAACACACAATTTAAACCATTGATGCTTTGTACTATCGGATTACAGGTAAATACATGTTCAATGTTAGGCTGCATTTGCCTCGAATCAGCTTGACATTACTTTAGACTTAAGCTAAAATTTTACTTCCGCCCCCTTTTTAGCAACCAACAGGAGCAAAAAGTTCTTTTATTTTAGGAAAAAAGCACAAATATATCCCCAAACTGGTATGCAAATATTCTCCATCATTCTTTTGAAACATTAATACATTAATGTCCATAAATTAGAACATATATGCATGAAAGAACAGGAACATCAACGTCCCCAAAGTATAACGGCAGCAGTACCAATATCTCCAAAATACGATGACAGGGACAATAATATCTCAAAAATATGACTATCAAAACTACAACAATTAGATTTGGACAGAAAGAAAATGAAATTAGTAGAGAAAGCTCTAATTTTTACATAAATCAGAGAAAAGAAAGAAACATATCAGAAGGATATGAGACATTCTTGATTCTCCAACAGCAAAGCACAGATCTAAAGATAAATAGCTCTAAATAAAAATCCTGGAACAAAAACAAAAGAGGAAATTTAGATACACCGTCATTAATTACTACCCCAAATAAAACCAAAAACTGAAAGATAAAGAAAAAGGGCACTTACCTGATTGAACTATGGACGATAATTTGTTAGCTTAATATTGAAATTAGAGCACAGAGGTTTAATAATTCGCTTATCAATTAAATTTCGGGAGAAGGGTATTTTATATTAAAGTTCAGAAGAATCCAGAAGAAATGAACTTGTCTTTTTCTTTCACAAGCTTATAATTTTTTTTATTTTATATTTGATCGTACTCTCTTTATCTATTTTTAGTTATTATGATTTGTATTTTTTATTTTTTAAAATTAAAATATAAAAAAAATTAATTGATATTGATATGAAAAAAAATTATAATGAGTTCAATATTAATTTAGATTATACCCTTAATTAAAAAATATCAATTTCCAACAGTATATATATTAATAATAAGAAATGTCTCTGAAGAATCTAGAAGAAATGGACTCCCTATTTTCTTATTTGATAGGTTTGAAAAAAAAATCATACTTTTTTATCTACTACCGAGATCTTAAAGTAGTCATATTGCAATCTAATTAAATTTAAAGTAGCTACTTTACAATGCTTATTTTTAAATACTAAAATTTAATTTTATAATATCTAATAAATATAAAACAAATATCAATTAGGGTAACTTTCACAAATAGCAAATAAAAAATCCATATTTGTATGCCATAGCAAACTTTGCATAATTGTGCTCCATAGCAAACATAAAACTGTATAATTTGCTATACATATACAATTGTATAATTCGCTGGCCTAAATTGTATAATTCGCTGGCCTATTTCGCTGCAATTGTATAATTTGTTTTGCATACAGTTGAACTGAATTAAAATGTATGTATATTGCATAATTATAAGTATATAGCAAGAAGATATATGTTTTTCTCGCTTTATACAAAAACAGAAACACAATATATACACTTCTGTTGTATAAAGCTAGAGAAAATTGTATTTCACTGCAATTGTATAATTCGTTGGCCTTTTTCTGCAATATTTGAAGTAAAATGTTTGTAAATTGTATAATTAAGTATATAACACGAAAATATACGTTTTTGCATGTGTATATACAATTTTCTCTCGCTTTATACAAAACAGAAACAGAATTATACACTTCTGTGTATAAAGCGAGAGAGGCGAGCGAGAATGGAGAATGGCGAACGAGATTTTTTGGAGAGAGACGCTGGCAAATTTTAGCTAATATTTGCTATGGAGCACAATTAAATCAAACCCTAGCTATTCCATTTAATTTAGGTTATTAGTTTGCTATTATATACAATTTTCCCTATCAATTATCGTACTAAGATTTCCAGTGGAACATGTAAGCAATCGAGAAATGTAATTGTGAAGATGAGAAATGTGTAAAAACAAAGAACAATGATGAAAACTCATATTTTATATAAGATAACCATAGTAAAGAACTAATTTTTATTATTTTAGAGTAAATAAGAGAAACATAATTAAGCTCCATATTTATTTTATTATTATATACATAAGAAACATTTGTTATACAAGGATGAAATAATTTATTTAAAAAAAAAGAAACATATTAAAGATTTTCAAGGGCATTTTGGTCCTCCTTCTTGAGTCTTCCAATCTCTATAACATGCACAACAATCTTTTTGTCCAAGAGTACCCGGTGGAACACAATGACACCAATTACAACACTTGTTACAAAATAATAAACAATTGTTTTTGTGAGACGTTGCTGAGCATCGTTTATCGCACGCATTTGAACATTCTACAAAAATACACACACAAAAATATATATATATTATCATAGTTAATTTTCTTCAACTAAAGTTAATTAATTGATAAATTTAAAAAGTTCTTACCATCAACAGGAACGGAGCAAGTGGTTTCACCGACGGAAGGTTTTGCTAGAAGTGAAGCATAAAAATCTTGACGTGCCTATTTGTTCAATCAAAATATAATGAGAATTCAGATATCAAATGCAAGTGACAATCAAAATATAATGAGAATTCAGATATCAAATGCAGTGAAAATATGTGGGAGGGAATAGTAGAAAAAGTTGTTAACTCACTAGAGAAACTTCAATGAGACACAATGACGCAACCAACAAGAGAAGCAAAAAAGCTTGAGATCTAACAGCCATTGTTGAGGACTTGGAAGTATATGGTGATTGGAGTTGATTTCTTGCTTTTTAATATATTTAATGGCAATCCTTTTATGCTTATGAACATAATTCGTGCCTACAATTACTACGGAAAAAGAATTGCATAACATAATTAACGATTGTATTGCCAAAATATTTTACAAAGTTAATATTTAGCCATTAATATTTTGGAATTAAAATATTCTATGAAAATCTTTTTGCTCATTCATTAATACACACCAAAAAGAAATTTCTGGCGGATTGATCATCAATGTACATGATTACAAAATAAAAATGCAGTAACTTTTATTTGAAAAAGGTTATTTCTCGCCGTTACAAATAAAATTCAAACAATGCAAAGAAAGAATTCATTTGTGTTATTCCTCAACCACATTTCAAATATATTTTACTCAAAGGTGGATGTAGTGGCCCTTTAGACAGCTATGGACTCATGTAAACCACAACTTTGACACGAACTCAACAAATATATTAGATTTGAACCCATTATTACAATACATTCAATACAGATTTCAACTCATTAAGTTTAAATCTTGACTCTTTCTGAATATACTTTCACAAATTGAGCCATAGTTACCTAATCGGACGACATTTTCACTTAACAGACATACCAATACCACTCATATTGTTAACAAAATCTATTGACAAGTTAAAGATGCATGTTTAGATAATGACTTACACAAGTTACATTACATGTGTAGAAAGAAATCCTGTGATATAATGCTTACATTGCCTGAAGGATAACTACCCCAAAATTTTGCTAATTTATCAAAATAGATAAAAAGTCATTGATCTAATAAACCAATATACATTGAGATTTCAAAATAATGAGAGACTAATCCACTACTAAGTCTCCACATTTTCTCCCTAATAAGGACTAATACAAAATTCAACTTATGTGCTGAAGACCTAAAAACAGTACCATAAAATTGCTCTGTCAAAGGAATTTGGAGCAGTCCCATGCTAAAGTTTGTCCCAAAAGAAAAAAAAATTTCAAGAGATTACCCTTTAGTTCTCATGATGGTAATGCTGCCTCTTCCGCCCTCTGTGTGAATTTTTGTCTTGCCAATGACAGGCTTCCCGGAAAAAGCTGATGTTGGATAAGGTGGTGAATCTTGATTGTGTTGCTTTGATTTAGATGGTGGCGGAGTACGTATCTTTTTGTTGATCTCTTTTAAAGTCACATCTCCTTGAGCGCTGCAGGGTTTGATAAATCCAAACGGGTAAACTACAGAAGATGCACCTTTCTTGGGAGTCTTTGTGTATGAACTCCTACCTGGATGTATAGTCAGTTAAGAGTAGGAGCTCAGTAGCAGCCAGTATTGACAAAGTTTTCACAGAATATTCTTTTCAAATTGTAATGAATTCTCCGCAGCTATTTGAGACTCAATGATGAGAAGTGTAACCGTGAAGAAAGTAAGAGTGTAAATTGTAATCTCATAGATAAAGTATAAACCTTTGAAAACAATGTTCCCATAAGTACGAGCAGGACTGCTTTTAACCATAGTTATCTCGCATTCTGGTGGGGAATTGACAACTTCTGCAACAGATAAGCTGACGTCAATCAAATATTAAACAAGAATAACATGAAAAGGAACACAAAAACACCGGCACATGAAAAATATAGAGGAGACAGACCAAAAGTAAAGGAAGAACAAAAGAAAAAGAACATTCTCAATGGAAAGAGAGATTCCCTACCCATTGTGTCTGCTTGAATATCAGATACTCCAGATGCATTCCTGTTAAAATAAATGTGTTAGAACAGAGCACACATAACATAACTAAAAGTCATTATGAGCATGGATGGCTAAGGATGAAAAGTTACATATCCTCGGAAATAATCTGCAACTCAGGATCATTAATGCAATCAGTAAGCCATTCTTCAGATGACTCATCAAAACCTTCCTGAGCCGAAGATGTTGCACCATCTAGAAAAACGTATTCTGTCAATAATGAATTCAACAAATTAAGCAGATATAACTTAACAAAAATGTCGCACAGATTGACCTGCATATTCGGAAAACCAGTCTGACACATCACTCCTAGCTTCTTCAAAATAGGCATTCCTCTCCTGCATTATCCAACTTCCATGTAAAATCACTTTTATAGAAATCATTTCCTCAGATATTTTTTCTGCATTACTTAGTAACATAAACATGTAAAATGAAGCAGAACTGAAAAGGTGCATTGTCGCAAGAGGTTTCCTTACGGAGCAAATTCCACCACTGAACTATCGGATTAACAAAACGCCTAACTTGGTTTAACATGTGGAAGCAACATACATTATTAATGTTAAAGTTAACTTGGTTCACGTGTGGGAAACAACATACATTATTTATGCTAAAGTATTATTAGAAGTGTGCTATACTACACAACTCAAAACACATAGCAAAAGGTAGTAGTAGTAACCTTAGATTTTAAGAAAGTTAATGCAAGCTTTTCATTTGAACCAGTGGAATCCAGGATCTCAGCATCAAATTGTAGCACTCGACGTCTTTTTACCGGTTTAGAAGGTTCTCTGCACTGCTCCAATTGCTTACTTGTAACATCTGGATCAAACCTCTTAAATCAGGATAAGATGCTTCAAACATGTTGAGTTTTAGAAGAAAGATAATTGTTATATTTGGATCCTTTACCCTTGACATCGCAAGTCAAGTCACCACAATCCTTTACCGGGGTTGTCTCATCAACAAACATGTAGGAAATATCTTTGTTTTTTTCAGTTACACCAGTCCATGGACATCCTGATACGTCAGTTTGAGGCTGCAGCCCTGTTTAACATGGATGACTCCACTTAACTATCTTTTGCCACTTATAACCATATGAGAAAGCACTACACTTACCAAAGTTCTCACTGTCTTGAAGAAAAGTTTCTCCACATTGCCAATCCCATATCTCGCTGCTATAGTATCATCAAAGAAAACAATGAATGAATCCCTTCAATACTTAACTTGCTATTTATCATAAATATATACATTAAGACTACCTCTCAACATGTATAAAGAATTATTTGAAGAAATCTCATTTTTCATACCATTAATCTTTAAAGTTGATATTTACATGTGTTTT